CCAGTCCAAAGTTCATCAAGTAACCTAGCCGTATTCTTTCAACAAAATGGCTGTCTTCTAAAACTATATTCTACAATTTACACCTTATCAACTTCAGTAAATCCTAAGATCACGACCCAGAAGCCTGTGACCAATACTAAGGCTTTTAGATGTGACCGAGTTTGAACTGTAAGTTGTGTGAAAGCCAGAACTGCAGTTTGTGGAAGAATGGGAGCAATGAGCTTCTAAAGTTAGCTTGTGTTCATCCTGGTCTCAGAGCTTTTATGTTTTGAGCTCACAGGAGCTTAATCTGGTTAGTGCTGAGTAGAAAGGGGGAGGAAATGGGGTCAACAGCTCCCGAATGCATCCTAGTGGTCTCGGGGTCAACGGCCCTTCCTGATCCCTAATGCTCAGTGGGCCTCTGTGGCCGGCTCCCAACAGAGTTGGACATGGGTGAACTTACAGGTTGGGTCATTAGTGGAGAATCTAGCTTTGAGATGCTGTGGAGGTCAGAGACAGAGGCTGGCAGTAGATTTAAATTATTACATCACTGAGTTTTTCAGGGGTGGGTAGATGGTAGATAAGGGAAGGTTGCCTGCCTGCCTGCACCCCCGACATGTTAACCCTAATCAACTGGGTAGGAAACAATGCTAAAGAAAACTGAGAAGTACATATGATCCACCATCTGAGAATCAGTTCTTGGATACCTTGAAGTGTCATTTTAGCTTAGCTGAAAACTATATTAAGAATGACTTTTATTAAAAGGGAAGAGAAATAATAGAAGATGTCTGTGCCCCATAATGGCTTTGTTATCCCTTACACTGGTTTAACATGAAATGACAATGTAAATTTTTCCAGCTGAAATAATTTCAAAATTGTAAGGGAGAGAAAAAGACTTACCTATTAGCTACATTCTATTATAACATGCTGATTTCATTGACAGTGGCTGGCAAAAGGTTATTCCAGTTCAGAGTCAACTCTCCACCTGAATACCAAGTAGAGGGTTATCACTTATGGCTGATGTTGTGTGTTGTGAATAAAGAATAAGGGGGGGAAAGAAAAGCAGCAAGAGAGCAAGACCCAGAGTTGGGAATGAGAACGAGAAAAAACAAGGTAGAAGTAGACCATTGGGGTGACGTGTCAGGCAGAGCGTTGCCTGGTCCTGCTTCAGTGGAGCCTGTCAGCTGTGTTTTTCATATTCCTTTTATTATGCCATTTTTTGAGCTAAAGGACGTGTTCATAGGTGGGTGGGAACACGTGCAGGGAAGTTCTTGAAGGAGGAAGACCCTCGGAGGATCCCTGTGGAAGCTGGGTGGGAATTAATGATAACTGGATGGGGGGGACTGCAAAAAGGACTCAGAGGACTATTCAGAGGCGTCCTTGGGTGACAGTTGTGTTCGTGTGTTCATACAAAGCACGGACACAATAAATGTCTTCTCCCTTAAAGTGTTCTTCTTGTTAGTTTTAAATTACCATTATAAACTTATCTTTATTCATGCAGCAGTATAGACTTTATACTGGTTTTTATTTACATAGCTCTGAGGTGTGGAGGCGAGTCACATCTTAATTAATATGCATTCAGAGTGATGCCTTGAATTAAGGAAAATTCTCCAGTGATGTCCTGAACTGTTTCAGATTGCAACAAGCCTTGGTGACATCTATCACTTTATGAATGATACACTTTTTGGTGTTCAGCAAAAGAATTTATTGAAAGAAAAAAGTCTTTGGGAGGTGACTGTTGAATCGTTGAGCTACTTGACTGAGAAAGGGCTCCTACAGAAAGATGCTGTTTGTAAGTCTGAAGAGGAGGTCCAGTATAACTTTCACATTACAAAGTTGGGACGAGCTTCTTTTAAGGGTAAGTATTTACCTAAACCTCATTAGTAATCTTATTATTAAGGAAATGCATTGGAGATAATAGAAATTAAATTATCTTTTCTTTACATTGTATTTGCAATTTTATATTAGTTACATTAATCATATCTTATAAATCATAAGTTTCCTCAACATCCAAAAGTTGGAAAATATTTTAAATTATAAGTAATTAAAATACTGCAGATGCCATGCTCAGTGGCTCAGCCTTAATCCCAGCACTTTGGGAGGCTGAGGCAAGTGGATTGCCTGAGTTCACAAGTTCGAGACCAACCCAGGCAACTTGGCAAGACCTCGTCTCTACAGTAACTAGAAAATTTGCTGGGAGTGGCAGCACATGCCTGTAGTTCCAGCTATTTGGAAAACTGAGGCAGATGGATCATTGGAGCCCAGTGGGTCGACTCTGGGGTGGCCATGAGTGTGCTACTGTACTCCAGCCTGGATGACAGAGTGAGACTACAACTCAAACAAAAAAAACTGCAGAAGTGTAGAGAGGAAAAGCCAGACATCCCTCCCTCAAGCTCCCCTCCCCAGCAGCCATACAAAGCTTAGTATCCCACCAAGAACAGCAATGCTATCATATCTTTCCAGACCTTTTCTGTATATTTCATGTCAATGCATAATACATGCATATATACAGTTTTAAGTTTTTGTCTTTAAACAAATGATCCCTGCTGGGCATGGTGGCTCACGCCTATAATCCCAGCACTTTGAGAGGAGGTGGAGGCAAGAGGATTGCCTGAGTCTGGGGGTTCGAGACCAACCTGGGCAACTATGTCTCTACAGTAAATTAAAAAATTAGCCGGGTGTGGTGGCACACATCTGTAGTTCCAGCTACTTGGGAGGCTGAAGCAGAAGGATCCCCTGAGCCTAGCAGGTGGAGGCTGTCATGGCCATGAGTGTACCACTACACTCTAGCTTTTTTTTTTTTTTTTTTTTTTTTGAGTTGGAGTCTCACTCTGTCACCCAAGCTGTAGTGCAGTTGCACGATCACGGCCACTGCAGCCTTCACCTGCTGGGCTCAGAAGGTCCTTCCACCTCGGCCTACCAAGTAGCTAGAACTACAGGCACATGCCACCACACCCAGCTAATTTATTTCTTTATTTACTTGTGGAGATTAGGTCTCGCCATGTTGCCCAGGCTGGTCTCAAACCCCTGAGCTCAGGTAATTCTCTTGCCTTCACTTCCCAAAGTGCTGGGATTACTGACATGAGCCACTGCGCCTAGCTTAATAACATACCTTAGAACACTCCTGTCCTATTTCCACTCTCAGGAGCGACCACCATTAACTGTTTGTTCTTCCAAGTGTTTTTATTTGTGTGCTTTTTTTTTTTGAATGAAATCATGGTTCACATTATTTTTGCAACTTTTCTCATTTCTAAAATATGAACGTATTAACAGATCAGTCCCTTTGAATCTGTCTCATTTTTCTTTTAATACTATAGTTATCTATAGCATGGATGTACCATAATTTACTTTGCCATTCCCCTACTGATGGACATTTTAATTTTTTTCTGATTTTTCTCTATTATAATCAAGGCTGCATAGACATCTCTGTTTATGTATTTTGGGGTACATGTGGAAATGATTCTCTGGGTTAGAATCCCAAAAACAGAGTAGTTGGATCAGAAGGTTTGTACTTATTAAATGTTGATGGATACTGTCAAAATGACCTCCAAAATAGTTACATCACAAGATATTACACAATAAGAGATTTAGAAGGATTTCTGCTTTGTTTAGGTAATTTCTAAACAAGACTTTATTTAAAGCCACTTCTTTTTACCTCTGACAATTATGAAGCGTGAGCTCTCTCCATCTTTCTTTTAGGAACTATAGATTTAGCTTATTGTGACATCCTCTACAGAGACTTGAAGAAAGGCCTTGAAAGCCTCGTGCTGGAAAGCCTCTTTCACCTCGTCTACCTGACGACTCCCTACGAGCTGGCTTCACAGTGTAAGCCCGACTGGATGATATACTTCAGGCAGGTGTGAATACAAGATCTTGACGTTTAGGCTACTTAGTTTATTAATTATTTTATGCTTTTTGTCAAGTGATTATTCACTTTTTTTCTCTATTAAAATATGTGGAATTAGGTGTTTTGTTTTTCCGTTTTTAAAACTGTAGCATGGTGCTGAGTATGGTAGCTCATGTCTGTAATCCCAGCATTTTGGGAGGCCAAGGCAAGAGGATTGCCTGAGCACAGGCATCCAAGACCAGCCTAGACAATTTGGTGAAACTTCATCTCTACAATAAATAATAAAAAAACTAGCCAAGCGTTGCAGCGCATGCCTGTAGTCCCAGCTACTTAGGAGGCTGAGGCAGAAGGATTGCTGAGCCCAGGAGGTTGAGACTGCAGTAGCCATGAGCGTGCCACTACATTCCATCTAGCCTGGGCAATGGAGTGAGACTCTGGTTCAAAAAGAAAAAAAAAAGGTGAGTGCAGTGACTCACGTCTGTCATCCCGGCAGGCAGAGGCAAGAGGATTGCCTGAGCCCAAGGGTCCAGGATCAGACTGGGCAACTTGGTGAGACCTCGTCTCTAAAATAAATCAAAGAAGTAGCCAGGCATAGTGGTGCACACCCGTGGTCCCAGCTACTTCGGAGGTTGAGACAGAAGGATCACCTGAGCCCAGCAGGTTGAGGCCACAGTAGCCATTGCACTCCAGCCTGGGTGACAAAGTGAGATTCCAACTCAAAAAAAGGAAGAAAAAAAAACCCAGAAACTGTAATATGGCAATAGCATTTTTGGTTTGTTTAACTTAAATATTACTTTTCTGTTAAGTATAAATATATTCATCATTGAAAAAAATAAAGGGACAAAAAAAGAGGGTTATTCCTGCTCCTCTTCTTTGATAGAATGCCTTGAAAACAGTGAAAGCTACCTCTGATGATTGATGATATGAAAGTATAGTGATATGAATGTGTAATGATATGAAAGCTCTATCAGAGGCAAGCATGATGATACAACAAACCCAGAGATGTTAATATCTGAGAAGGAATATTTATTTTATTTTATTTTATTTTATTTATTTATTTTTTTGAGTTGGAGTCTCACTCTGTTGCCCAGACTGGAGTGCAGTGGCTGCTCCCAGCCACCGCAGCCTCGACCTACTGGGCTCTGGCGATCCTTCCGCCTCAGCCTTCCGAGTAGCTGGAATTACAGGCATGTGCTACCATGCCCGGCTGATTTTTTTATTTATTGTAGGGATGAGGTCTCGCTGCCCAGGCGGGTCTCGAACCTGCGGGCTCAGGCAATCCACTCACCTCAGCCTTCCAGAGGCACAGGATTACAGGCTGAGCCACCGAGCCCGGCTGGAATATTTATTTTATATCCAGTAGCAGAGTGGACCTGGCCCTACTTGTTATAACGCCGAGTGGAAACATACAGCCTATTATGATTGTACTGTGAACAGGCTAACTGTATGAACACAATCTAGGCACAGCTTTGAATCACAAGAAGTTAACTTTCTTCTTAATATCATATTTTTAAATCTTTACTGTATGTTTCTTAAAGTGGCACTGTATAATGCAGTTACTTTCAAAATCTTTCCCTCTTCTCCCTACCCTCAGCCATCACCAGTACTAAACGTAATCACATAGTCCATGGAAACCAGTGCTTGTGGCCATGTCTTTAAGTAATTCCACTAAAGTTTGTTATATTCTAATAGTATGATTTTAAAATTTGCAGTGTTTGTAAATAAATTTATGTTGCTTTTCATATCCTTTCAAATTAAGAAAATGTAGCCGGGCTCGGTGGCTCAGCCTGTAATCCTGCGCCTTGGGAGGCTGAGGTAAGTGAATTGCCTGAGCCCGCGGGTTCGAGACCCGCCTGGGCAACTTGGCGAGACCTCATCTCTACAATAAATCAAAAAACTAGCCAGGCGTGCTAGCACGCGCCTGTAGTTCCAGCTACTTGGAAGGCTGAGGCGGAAGGATCGCCAGAGCCCAGCAGGTCGAGGCTGCGGTGGCAGGGAGCGGCCACTGCACTCCAGTCTGGGCAACAGAGTGAGACTCCAACTCAAAAAAAAAAAAAAAAAAAATTAAGAAAATGTGACATAAATACTTGATTTTTTTCAAATGACAAATTTCTAAAAGCTACACTTTTATTTTTCCATGTATTTACTCTTTCTCCACGCAGCTTGGTCAGCTCAGTCCAGCAGAACAAAATGTAGCTTCTCTTCTGGGAGTCTCTGAAAGCTTTATTGGGAAGAAAGCATCAGGTCAAGCCATCAAAAAGGTACCGGAATCTTTTTTTCTGCCCGAGTAATGAACTCCGTTCACTCAACAAAATTAATACCATTATGTCGATCTTTTTTGCTTTACATTTTTTCTTTAAATTAATATATTTCTTGGTTTGCTATTTAAAACATATCTCAGCACCAGAAATGTATGAATTTTTTTTAAACAGTATTTATTTCTGGGTGGTGTTATGGCCTTTTTTGGGGTAGTTTTGTGTCTCTTTATTGTCATGCACATGGAAGGCTTTTATTAGAAAAAGTAAACCTTAATCATTTTTCTTAGGCTACTTATAATTCACGTTATAAAAACTTAGATATCTATAAAAATGTGTTTGGGATGTTACAGAATCCTGAATTCAATTCGAGGAAGGAAATATATATTTTTAGAAACTTTATATAGGGCTTTTTCCTTGTATGAGAGATTCTAGGACAGGACATCTGGGTTTTTATTGGGTTTTTTTGTCATCCTCAAAGAGCTCCCAGTCTAGCACTTGCAGTATGTAAAGCATGTTAGAAGGTTAAAGTAGATAAGCTAGTATTCTTTTGTGTAATCGCTTGTATTTTAGTGTCTTAAAATTCAGTCGGTGGGCATAAGCAAGTATTTAATGAAGCAAGTACACTAACTTTAAGTGGAAACGGGGAGCACATGGCGACCACGCCTGGAGTCCCAGCACTTTGGTGGAGGGGTGGGCAGGAGGATCACTCAAGCCTAAGAGTGTGAGTCCACCCTGAGCAACATAGCAAGACACCATCTCTACAAAAAAATAAAAATAAAAAACTTAGCCAGGTATGGTGGCATTCCTGCGGTCCTGGCTACTTGGAGGCTAAAGCAGGAGTTTTTCTATGAGCTGCATCCGTGCCACTGCACCCCAGCCTGAGCACCAGTATGAGACCTTGTCTCTTAAAAAGAAAGAGAGAAAGAAGTGGAAATAAATCTTAGGTAATTATACTTTCAATTTCTCAAGTTAATGTCATTTCTCCCCTCATAATACACTTCTCACTTTTAATTTTCTTTGGTAATCCAGTTTACACTGAAACTAGTTATATCACCCACCATTTTCCTCCTATACCTTTTACATTTACATAGACAATACTGATTTATTTTGAAATATGGAAGATGGCATTTACTTACATTTAAATTGAACAGTGTGGCTGACTCATGTATCACTATATCTCAGAACTAAAACTATCTAAGAGCCGGGTGCAGTGGCAAGCACCTGTACACCCAACTATGCAGAAGGCTGAGGCAGATTTGCTTGAGTGCAGGAGTTCAAAGCCAGCCTGGGCAAAGTAGTGATACTCTGTCTCTAAAGATAAAAATATCTAAATCATACTAAAGCATCATGTTAGCACATGAATTTTTAGATTGGATCTTTTGTCTCAGAAATGGCAATGTTGTTTGGATCTTCAAAATGTTGAATTAAATATTTTTTAAACCTTTTATATCACACTTTAAAATGTAAAATAAAACAATCATATTAATTTGGAACTCATTCAAATAATAAACATGCAAAGTATTATCAGAATAATTCTTTTTGTTTGTTTGTTTTCTTTTTGAGGCAGGGTCTCAGTCTGTCACCAAGGCTGGAGTCCAGTGGCATAGTCACAGCTCACTGCAGCCTCAGCCTCCTGGGCTCAGACGATCCTTCTGCCTTAGCCTCCCAAGCAGTTGGGACTACAGGCAGATGCCACCATGCCTGGCTAATTTTTTCTGTAGAGAGAAAGTCTCACTATATTTCCTAGGCTGGGCTGGAACTCCTGGGCTCAGGCAATTTTCCCGCCTCAGCCTCCCAAAGTGCTGGGATTACAGGTGTGAGCCACTGCTCCTAGCCTGCATGATGTATCCTTTTAAACTTGGATCCAGAAATCATTTTTATTACATTTTACATAATATAATCAACAAATATTTATTAGTTTGATAATTAAATATTTTAAATAGTATGGATATGAATTTATCTTACAAATAGATTAGTTACTAGTTTTATAGGCATGATTTTTGGAACTCTGGAGAATGTAATATTTACTTCAAATTTAATTGATTTCTCCACATTGAAAAAGACCTCTCCCCATTTCTTGCAAAAGATCTTGTAATCAATATAAAGCTTTGTATCTTGCCATGTAATGATTATATCATTTTTCTTGGCTTAGGAAAAACATTCTAAGCAAAATCTACGTCAACTCAATTTATAGTTACTAATGATGATACACTAAAATTTGGAAATTAATCAGCCATATTTTTCTACTTGATATTCAACTCTCATGCCTTTTCAGCTTAACGCTTTTTAGAGAGTGGTTCAGTGTCAACAGACAGAACCCTAACTCATACATTCTTCAGCATGTCCCCCTGGGTTCTCATCTCAAACATTCTTTTCCTGTAGGAGAGGGCATAATTTTACATTTGATAAAATTTCAAGTTCATCCTTTCATAGGCACCAGGAGTCAGGACTGAACTGTTTCTTTTGGGGCGTGAAGGGGCAGAGTTCAACCCACTATACTCCCTATAGAAGAAGATTTAATTTAAATTGAAACAAGTGGGTATATCTCCATTTATCGTTGGAACGTGAGTCAATTTGAGTTAAAGTGTGTATTTTAGAAATTAGTTTTTGTTTCTGTGGAATTTTTTCTATCCTTGCTATCCTGTAATACACCTTCATTTAGCTTTTGTCCAGTTTTGATGTGACGTTCATTTTTAGCAGGCCCAGCACATAAATGTATTTGATTGTGTCTTTTTAGAAAGTGGACAAGGACATTGTAAGCAGATTATACCTGTCTTTTGTTCTGTATACCTTGCTCAAAGAAACCAACATTTGGAGTGTGTCTGAAAAATTTAACATGCCTCGAGGATACATACAAAATCTTCTCACTGGAGCTGCCTCATTCTCATCTTGTGTGTTACATTTCTGTGAGGTAATTTCATTAAATATATTTTATATACTTTGTGCAGCTTCTTGTTTTAACTGCTACTAAACTCATAAACCAGTTACTCAGTTTGTCAGTGTTTTCTCATTGTTGACTTAATTATGTAATTACAAAGCACTAAAAATGTATTTAAATGTATCTGTTTTTATCTGCTTACAAAAGTAGTATAAACATACTTATGGCAAAGATACAAAATTACTGAATCAACTGAAACATAAGAAACAAGTGAAAAGCGCTTAGTTAACACAGCTCTGAGAGCTGCCATCAATAGGTCCAGATATTTGAAACTAACTCTTAAAAACAACCTTTCTCCATTGATTTGGATTCTGTGTGAATATCCTTCTTATGAGGGATAAAAGTGTGAAGTGTTTGGTTGATAAGTGACGGATGTCCACTGGCCAATGTGTGATGACTTGGCATCTTAGTCCCTCAGTTGCTGCTGTCACCAACATGCTTGCTTTCACATCAGGCAGTTATGTTAGACTTTTACATCACATGTTTATGTTATAAAATAATTCAAGAAGACCTTATTCTGAATATATACATTTGGGATGGATTTGTTTTAAGACTTTATTAAAAGCAGCTTTCAGTGTTTCCTTAAATAACACAACAAGGCTTGCCAGACTTTTTTATCCAGATAGTTTTTTTTAAATGATGAATTTATAATACAAGCCATTTTTGCTACATTTAAATTTCTTCTTATTTGGCAGCATAATAATCCTTTCCATATTTGTTTCCAACTCAATTTTTTCAAACTTTTTTCCCATGAATTCTGTTTTCTAAACTTAAAATTCATTTCATTTTCCTTGTCTTAAAGCACCATATTCTGTAGATGTATGTGGCAACTAATTATCTCATATGATCTAATGAAGGGAGTAAATGATCCAAGCATACTTGGCTTTGGATTGGGTGATAATTACATTAGCAAAGTTTCCTTTCTAAATATCTTTGACTTTTAGCTGTGTGTTGATTTTTAAATGTCACTTGACATTCCCTGAGTATAAGCTAGTTGATTAGACTCACGAGTTAGAAGGAAAAGCAATCCTTTAAAATAAAATTTATTTTCAAAAGTTTTCTGGTTGTTGTTTTTTTATTTTTTATTTCTTTGTATTTGAAGATGCTCTCCCTGATATTTTGCCCTTTATTTTAATTAGCATGCAGACTTGAGACTTATAGACTTGTTTAAGTAAAAGATATAGAACTTGAAAACAGCTATAATCTGGTAGCTAATCCTAAGAAGACCAGTCAAGCATGGTGGCTCACACCTGTTATTCTAGCATTTTGGGAGGCCAAGGTGGGAGGATCACTTGAGCCCAGGAGGTCAAGGCTGCAGTGAGCTGCGATTGTGCCACTACAGCCTAGCCTGGGCAACAGTCAGACCTCAACTCAAAAAAAGGAAAAAAAGTTATATAAATGATATAAAATAGTATACCAATAGTATTAGTTAAGATGCTTGTAACTACAAGTAGCAGAAAAATTCATGGAAGTTTAAATAATAAGAAAAAATATTATTTTATGTAACAGGCACACCAGAACCAAAGCAACTCCAGGGTTGATTCAATAGTTCTGTTCAAGGTTTTTTTTCTTCTTTTTGCTCTGCCATCTTTATTGCATCAACTGCTGTCCACACATCATGTACTCTTGCCATGATACCCAGAGGCGAGGAAGAGAACCTCCAAAATGAAATAAACTGCTATGAGAGGAAATTTCAAACATATATAAAAGAAGACAAAATATTATATTGAGTTCCCGTTTACCTACCTAGCTGTAACAACTATTGACTTCCAGTGTTTTTACTGTTTTAATGCTACATTGAACATCTTCTTGCATTCAAACATGTCTGCATTTAATACTTGGTCTTCAGGATAAATTCTCAGAGGTAGCAGTTGTTCTTAGTCACTTGGGAAAGAAAAGCTCTCCATTAACTTCCTAGTGTTTTGATTAAAATGACCAGAGTCCTTTCTGCTGACCCCAGGTCATCGAGTCCTCCAGCTCTCCAGCGTGCTTCATCGTAATGGCTTTGCTTGGAATCAGCTTCCGTCTCCAGCCTAGCTCAAGTTTCAGAACATCCTCTCTGAGCCTCCTACCGCATAAATTAAACTTTGAAATAACTTACAGAAAGTTACCTTGTATATACACCTTTGTGTTCTGCAGGAGCTCGAGGAGTTCTGGGTTTACAAAGCCCTTTTGGTAGAACTTACCAAGAAACTGACGTACTGTGTGAAGGCCGAGCTGATTCCTCTCATGGAGGTCACTGGAGTCTTGGAGGTCAGTCACTTCCCATTTTCCAAGTGAGGTTACTAATCACTATGAAAGTGAGGCCTTACTATCCTGTGAAGTCTTAACTGCAGGGCACATGATGGCAAGAGCCTCATGACTTATTTGTTATGGGAGTCCTTTGTTTAAAATAAACTACTGCCATGGCCTTCCAGAAACCCACTCTTCAATTAGGGAGTAGGCCTGGTGAAACATCTTGGTTGTGAAAAAAGAAACAGCAGTCAGGGTATGGGTGCCTTTCCCAGGTGTGTGTGCTGCCACCTGTCCCTAGTGTCCCCTCCCTCCTCCACGCCTTGAAGAATTGTTTGTGTCAGTTGAACTCAGCACCTGTTCAAGGTAGTGGTGACTCCATGGCCACAAGGGTCACTGGACAGTGAGAGGAATGTGTCCCTGAGCAGCCTCTCAGCTTTCTATTTCCAGCAGACACTCAACGTCAGCATCTTCTCACAGGCAGTTCTTGATCAGAGGCATTCTGCTGGGAAGCACACACACGCATCCCCATGGTCCCATGAGACCATGAGAATGCTGACACATATTGGACTATGTGTGAGGATTTGAGATAATGCCCCGAACTAAGAGCATTGATGGCATCTCGCTCCTGATGGCAACACATGTAAGTTACATGAGCTGCAAGGAAATTGTCCTGTGGGCAGTGTGAAACCACCCAATGCATCTTTAAAAATCTTCATATTTAGCTAGCACAGTGGCTCATGCCTATAATCCCAGCACTTTGGGAGGTGGAGGTGAGAAGATTGTCTGAGCCTGTGAGTTCAATACCAGCCTGGCAACATGACGAGTTCAATGCCAGCCTGGGCAACATGGTGAGACCTTGTCTCTACAGTAAATCAAAAAATTATCTTGGCATGGTGGTGTACGTCTGTAGTTTCAGCTACTTGGAAGTCTGAGGTGGAAGGATCACATGAGCCTAGCAGGTCAAGGCTGTGTGTGGCTATGAGCAGCATGCCACTGCACTCCAACCTGGGCAACAGAATGAGACTCCAACTCTTTCTATATATACTTATATTTACTTTATCGTCTTGGTGTATTCGTGTTTCTTGCATACAAAATTTTTTCCCTTCGGTAAGATGCTTAGGTTTTTTTTTTCTAATCCCAAATTTTCATCCTACTGATTTTTGTAACACTTTTCAGGGCCGAGCAAAACAGTTACACAGTGCAGGTTACAAAAGCCTAACACACTTGGCCAATGCAAACCCTGAAGTGCTCATAAGGACAGTTGATCATCTGTCAAGACGTCAGGCCAAGCAAATTGTTTCATCGGCAAAGGTAAGCAAAGCAACCATTGTTAACCTTTGTAATATTTTGTAGTGTTGTCTCCTTGACATCAGAACAGAACCATTTAACATCGCATAACTGTTAATTTCTATAGACACAAAAGTATATACTCACAATTTGTGAGTATAAATAATGTATCTGTTACGGCACAAGGCTTGCTAAAAAGAGACAAATAAAGATGAAATAAAGAAATAAAGACAATTTTGGCTGAGTGCAGTTGCTCATGCCTGTAATCCCAGCACTTTGGGAGGATTGCATGAGACCAGCCTGAAAAACATAGCAAAACCCTATCTCTACAAAAAAATTATAAAAGTAGCCCAGCATGGTGGTGCTTACTTGTAGTCCTAGTTACTCAGGAGGCTGAGACAGGAGGATCACTTGAACCCAGGAGTTCCAGGCTGTAGTAAGCCATGATTGTGCCACTATGCTCCAGCCTGGGAACGAGACCCTGTCTCTAAAATATAAAGATAAGTCCCAGGTCCAGTGAGGTCCAGGAGCCCTGAAAGTCCCCAAGCTCTGCCTCCCAGACCCTCTTCACTGAAGTCCTCTCCTCTGCCTCTCCAGCACCTGGTCCCCCAGCTTGGAGCACCTTCCTTGACAGGGAGTTTGCAACATCAGAAACCAGGTGGTTCTATTTTGGATGCTCTTGGACTTACGCAGACATCCCACTATTCTGAAGCTAAATTTTACCTTCCCAGAGTGTCCACCGCTGTGGCAGAGTGCTGCCTCTGGAGCTGTTCTTTTGTTCAGGCGGCAGCTTTTTACGTATTTGAAAGCAGCTCTTGTTGCCTGCAAGGGATTTTATTCTCTTCCCTCTGTATTGAATCATCTAGTTTTAGGCTGTTTGCTGTCCTGGTGACCCTTTACTAGATGCTGTTCAGTTGTTGTTGCCTCTCTGCTCTGTGTGTGTAAAGGCATCACACGGCAATTTGGGGTATTTCTTTCTTGAGCTCAACTCTAGTTCTGAGTCTTCTATCGCTTGGCTTCTTCTAAACTTCGTTGTTATGCTGTTATCATATACAGATCAGAATTAGCTAAAAAGCACATTTCCATTTTACTTTTTTGTGGTTTTTCTTGTTTTGTTTTTTTGGTTAAGAGACAGAGTCTTGAGCCGGGCTTGGTGGCTCAGCCTGTAATCCCGCGCCTTTGGGAGGCTGAGGTGTGTGGATTGCCTGAGCCCGCGGGTTCGAGACCCGCCTGGGCAGGGAGACCTCATCTCTACAATAAATCAAAAAATTAGCTGGGCATGGTAGCGTGCACCTGTAATTCCGGCTACTCGGAAAGCTGAGGCGGAAGGATCGCCGGAGCCCAGCAGG